ACACTGAGGGTTGCGATCCGTTGCCGGTCACGAAAAAAGACAGAAAGGGGAAAAAAAAAAACAAAACAAGTTCTCTCTCATTCATGACTAGAGATAGTGAGGTATGTTACTATCAGGGGTGGGTGGAGCAGGGTCACTATCAATAAAGTCTATAAAAGTTCCAAATAACCTTACGCTTGTCAAGGGACTCCAGACACAGAGCATCCTAGAACCATAAGACTTTAGAGGTCACATCACATTTATTCCAACCCCTTACCTGATACATGAACCCTGACTACATCTTCCCCCAACAAGTGACCTAATATTTGCTTGCAGACCTCCAGAAAATAACTCATTTTATGAAGCGCCAATTTCAATTTTGGGCAATTCAAATTGTTATTATTTACAGAAAATTATTTTTTAAATAAACTAATAGGAGTATACATAGAAATTGCTTGGTATAGTGTCTGGCACATAATCAAACACTCAATATAATAGTGGCTATTGCTAATTATTATTAAGGTTATCATTACTGGTTTTTATTTATTGAATGCTTATACGCCAAGTACTACTCTAAGTACTTTGTCCATGTATATTCCTTCATTTGACCCTCTCAATGCCTCACGAGGTAGTTATTACAGGTTGAGCATCCCTACTCTGAAAATGTGAAATCTGAAGTGCTCCAAAATCCAAAATGATTTAAGCTCCAACATGATGCCCAAAAGAAATGCTCATTATTTCAGGTATTCAGGGTAGGGATGCTCAACCTATGTATTCTGCAAATATTCCAAAATCTGAAGAAATCTGAAATCTAAACACTTCTGATTCCAAGCATTTAAGATAAGGAATATTCCTCCTGTATCCCTATTTTCCACATAAAGAAACTCAGGCAAAAAGAGATTAAGTAACTTGCTCAAGGTCAAGCAGTGAGGTACGGGCTGCATTTGAACCCAGGTCTAATTCCAAAGTCCATGCTTACAACCGTACACTTCTATTTTGAACTCAGGTCTGTCTTCTTGGGATTTCCACCCAATAATCCTATATCTGTCTTCTCAAGGCATACAGACACTTCTCACTTCTCAAGTGCATTCCTTTTCTAGAAGACTGCTTTTCACATATCTGAGGACAGATGTAATTTGTTCCCTATAACTTTGTGTTGCCAAGCTAAACACACTGAGTTCCTTCAGCAATTTTTTATAAATTATTTTCACTGGGCAAGGCCCAAGAGATAATAGAATGTGTTAAGAGCTGAAAGCCCATAACATAGTTTTAAGAAAAAAAATTAAGATAAAATCTTGTTTGCTTTTGGAACCAGGCCCCAGCAAGTTTCCTAGCACAAAATCCTAGAGGGAAGTCAGTGAGGGGTGTCAGCTTTACCTGTTTTATACAGAGCCCAGCCCAGACACACGAACATGATGTTTCACAAATAATCTTTGAGATGTTTGAGGCCAATCTAAAAACTTCCAATCATATTAGGGAGACTGGAACATAGCAGAGACATTAATCGCCATCCTCAAACATTGTCTTTTTAAAATTACCTTTTTATTAGAAGCTCTCTGTGCTAGGGTGATGTCAATTGGACAGATTTTCCCTTTTTTGACAATGGGATCTTGCCCAGGAAAGGTCACTTGATAGGCAGGCTGCAATTTTTCCAAACATCTGAAATGGGAGGTGTGAGTTATAAACTGATAAAGCCGACAGAAACCATTTCTCCATTCCCCACTAGCAGCGGGCAGCTGGGTGTAAGCTGATCTTGCAGGGCAGTGGTTTGCAGCCTTGGCTGCACATTAGACTCATTTAAATCACTTAGGGAGCTGCAGCCCAGACCAATTAAATCAGTACCTCTGATGAGACATCTATATATATTTTTTTGTTTTGTTTTGTCTTGTTTTTGTCTTTTTCGTGACTGGTAAGGGGATCGCAACCCTTAGTGTGGTGTCGCCCGCACCGCGCTCAGCCAGTGAGCGCACCGGCCATTCCTATATAGGATCTGAACCCGCAGCGGGAATGTCGCTGCGCTCCCAGCGCCGCACTCTCCCGAGTGCGCCACAGGGTCAGCCCAAGACATCTATATTTTTTAAAGCTCCCCAAAGTGCGGCCAAGGTGGAGACCCACTGATTGAGGGAAGGGAACATCAGTAACCTGAGCCCCTGGAAACTGTCCACTGGTCTGGCCTTCTGAGAATCTGTCCAGTCTGCTTTGTGGAAGTTACTACCTGTCTCAAGAATGGACTATACCCAGCTCACTGCCTCCAAATGCTGCTTCACATTTCTGACATTTCAAAAATGCATCTTTTACAGAACACCTTCACCACAAAGAATTTCTACCTTTTATCTAACCAAATTTTCTCTTGCTATCATTTACATGAGGATCGACACGCTTTTTCTATAAAAGGCAGGACAGTACATAGTTTAGGTTTTGCAGGCCATATGGTCTCTGTTACAACTACTCAACTCTGCCTTTATAGCACAAAAGCAGCCCATAGACAACACATAAATGGGTGTGGCTGTGTTCCAATAAAACTTTATTTACAAAAACAGGTGGCAGGCCAGATTTGACTCATGGGCTGTAGTTTACTGGCTCCTGATACAAATTATTTTCATTTATGGAAATAAACTGTGGGGAAAAGGAGTAATAAGACTCTTTCCTTTGAAGACTTTAAGACAATTCACCCTGACCTTCTTTTGCTTCTAAATCTTGTTGAAGTTCTTGTTTTTAATTAATGTTCCTTTTCTTCCTCTCAAGTTCTCCTACATTGTGTTGGCTCAAATTGTTCCAAAGACATTCCATATCAGAATTACTTAAGCCTGTGTTTATATGGACTAACATGGTATAAGTTATGGAAGATGGAGCTAAGATAGTGACAATTTTCAAGTTCAATGTGATAGATATTAAGGGGAAGGAAAAGAAAAGTTGGAAAGGGACTGCGAATCCCTATTACCTGGTCAGGAGACTGTCCCATGGAAGTTTCATGACTGTGTGCTGTTCATTCTTCTCTAAGATGCAGTCACATAAGATGGGATCTAATTTCACAAGACTAAAGAGAAAGAAAAGGCAAAAAAGAATCACCAAGATATGGAACCTACCTAAATGTCCATCAAAGGACAACTGGATAAGGAAAATGTGGTATAAATACACAATGGAATACTGCTCAGTCAAAAAAAAGAATGAAATTCTGCCATTCGCAGCAACATGGATGAGCTTGGAGAAAATTATGTTAAGTGAAATAAGCCAGACACAGAAAGAGAAATACTGCATGTACTCACTCATAAGTGGGAGCTAAGAAAGAAAAGAGAAAATAAAGGAAGGAAGAAAGAAAGAAAGGCTGACCACAATAAAATGTTGAACTTTCAGAAGAAAACAGACCTCTAGTTACTAGAGATGTGAAAAGGGAAGGGAGAGGAGGGTTAGGGAGTAATTAGGTAAGGGATACAAAGAATAATTATGATTTGAATAATGAACATGCTAATATTGATTTGATCATCACATACTGTACAGAAATACTGATAATCAACTCTGTACTCCATGAATATATATATAATCAAAAATAAATAAATAAATAAATTTTGGGGGGGGGGGGAAGATACCCCAGACTTGCCCATCATGTGACTGCAGCTTTCTGGGCTTAGTTTCACAGAAGGCTAGCAAGGAAGAAAGACTGGAAGCAGGGCTCTTTATTTAAATGAAGACTTTAGATTAGGCTGGTAGGTCCCAACTTTTTGATCATGAGGAATGGAACTCTCTTCATCTGGCGGTTTATCATCTGCACCCACTTATTAAGAAGATATTACCAAAATGCTAAGATGACTTCAGTAAAATTTTTTAAAGTTTGCATTTTATTCCCCACAACAGCCACCTGCATCTGCAGATCAATGGCTGTTCTATGTGAGATAATATTTACTCAGTGTGTTGCCAATGTTGACAGTGTATATGGATCTGACAACACCCTGGACAACAACTCTAGGTGTCCACAGCCCACGGTGTGGAAACCACTGGTCTTGATTTTTTCTAAGACACTGTGATTCCCCATGCTCCCTCCCAGACCCAAATGTGTCTATGCCTGCTGAAGACCACCCGACAAGACAGACCCAAGTTCTCCTCCTTCTCCACTCACTTCTTGTTGTCTGCATCGACCAGGTCATTTTTCTTGGCGTAGTTAATGATGATCATTCGGACCTCGCTGCCCTCGAGCATGCTCCCCTTCCTAGGTGAGGAGAAGTGAGCGGGGGCGTTAATTCATGCTGTGCCAGGAGACAAACTGCAAACACCCGGACTCACTCCCTGCTCAGCAGGGTGCTTTCCTTGACTTTCGGCCTCTATTTTCTTCCCTTTTCTGGACTGAGGTGAGCATGACCGTGTGAAGAATAATTACAGGTAGAAAAGGGAGAAACCTCCTCTGTTCATTTGGTCCAGAGAAACTTCCCCAGAGAAGGAAGCTTGGAGCTGAATGTGGGAGAAAGGGAGAACAGGGCAGAGCAGGTTTTGCCAGTCACAAAAGAACACTACTCGGGTTGAGAGGAAGTGGAGGCCAGAACACCAGGCAGGCAGAGAAGGGCTGCTCTCCAAAAACTCACTTGTGGCCAGACTCCTGGAAGAGCAGGGTCATGCTGGCTGGGACACAGTAGAGGGATTTTATATCTGGAGGGTGATAGGGCTGTCCCCTGCTACCCTCCTGGATAGTCGGGGAGCTCGGGGAGGGCTCGGGTATGACGAAAGATGTGATCCTAAAACCCAGCAGAAGGAAAGAAAAAACACATTTTATACTAGTGTCTCGGCAAGCCCCAGTCCGTTGCCCAGGTGCCCTGGGGCCAGCTGAGCTACGGTGACCAGGCCCCCTGCACTCACCTCGGGTGTTTCCAGTCCACAGCCACAACGCTCTCCACCCCTTTGCTCAGCTCCTTCACCTGTATAACCTGCTCCTGCTGCATGTGCTGCAGGAACTTAGAGAGCTAAGGGAGAGAGGGCCAGTGGTCGGGGACTTCATTGATCCCACACACAGACTGAGTGCCTAGGATGTGCCAGACCGAGCTCGGCAGCAACTGTGGAAGGATATGAGATGGTCTCTGCACTCATCACACTAGGAGCTGGGAGGCCCCCACCCTGAGGGTCAGGAGCAGGAAGTGGCTAGAGCCTAACTCTAATCAGATATAAAGGGGTCAAATGGGGAGAGGAGAGTGGGCACCACCGAACTACCTCAGCCCAGGAAGAGTTTTTCCCCTTAAACCTGCAATCAAAAGCTTAATTTTAGCCTGAGCCCTTAGATAGGGCTTCCCCAGTGCCCAGTCAGCTCATGTCATCCGTGCCCCTGCACAGCTCTCTGTGTGGGTGTGCAAGGAAGGTTCCTGCTTACCTTTCTGTAGCTTGACTTCTTTATGTCCAGCTGTCGTCCTTCGGGGCTAATGGCAGATGGAAAAGGCAAGTTAAGCTAACAAGCAGTGGTGGTGGGACCCGCCTGGCACTGAGGGCCTTTTTCCTCAGCCTCCCTCCCCCAAGTTCAGAGAGAGGCCACCATTCCAGAACTCTGCCCAGTGGTGGCATCTGCGAGGGATGCAGACTATGAGACAGTCTAAATCAGGGCTGGCCAACAGAACTTTTTGTGAAGACAGGATGTTCTCTGTCTGTGTTGTCCAATATGGTAGCCATTAGGCGCATGTGGCTAGTAAGCATTTGAAATGTGCCTAATGTGACCAAGGAGTTAAATCTCTCATTTACTTACTTTTAATTAATTTAGATTTAAAATAGCCCTGTGTGGCTAGTAGCTACTGTATTACATATAGCTTTAGATTCCTCTCAAACCAGACAATCTTCAGTGGCCTTAAAAGTTCCACCTGAAGGTGAGCCTTTCTACACCAAGCTTGTGCTGCAGGCACCAGGCCTGGGGCAGGGTTCAGCAAACTGCATCCTGTGGGCCAAATCTGACTACATCATCACTTAGCTATCGTCTGTGGTCACATTAGGCTATAGAGGCAGAGCTGAGTAGGGGTGACAGACCCTCATGGCCTGCAAAACCTAAAATATTTACTATCTGGCCCTTCACAGAAACTTTTCTGACCCTTGCCCTAGAGCAACTAGTTTTGGGGGAAGGCTCCTGATGAAAGCTATAAACTTCCCCTCTCCCTGGAACTTACATCTTCTCTTAAAATGTGACATTCAACAGCTGTGGGATTCTCAGGGAACCCTTCTAGAACCCACCACAGATTAAGAACTTCTATTCTAGAGAAGATTCTGGGATCCTTTTCCCAGTTACTTGCAACCCAGCAAGGTCAGGACAAATTACCAAGGAACCCATCACATACTCTAGATGCCACACTTATACAGGATGCCCTAAAGAAGCCTGTGTGTAAATGGGAAGAGATTACATTAAAAAACACTTTTAAAAAAACAGAGCAAGATTCTCAAAAAGAAAGAAGTTCAATCTCAGGGTGAAAATCAATAAGCAAACCTCCTGATAGGACAGTATCTGTTGAGTGCTTATTATATGTCAGCCTAATTAATCTTCACAGCAATCCTGTGAGTATTGAAATTAGGGCTCAGAGAAGCCCAGTAACAAGGTGAAATTTGCTTTGCTCAAACACCCTGGGGAGCTAGCAGTTGAGCCCAGATGGCTCTGTCTTCAAAGTCCAGGTTCTATCTACAAGTAACACTACCTCTCCTGGTGGCTTGTGTTTTGGGTGGGGTGGGGGTTCACCCCAATTCTTGCTGATACAACCTAATCTGGCCTACCTACTTTTCACAAGTGTGAGGGGGTTGAACATTCCAGAAGAAGCCTCCTGACAAAGAGGCTGCCCCCGGACTCTTCCTGTACAGGACATGCTGCTTGATTCGTGAGAGACAGCCCAGAACTGCCACAGCAGAGGCAATATTCAGAGAATCTCGGGAATTTTAACCTGCCATTTCCTCAACATCCTTTCACTGGCTTAGGTTAAGTTTTTAAAACCCAGGACCTAATGTATTTGCCAGATCAACCTTCTATAGCATGTCCCTCAACCAATGCCCCCATCGGCCCTGTCCTGTCCTACCGCCAAGGCACAAGAGTGAGACCCAGTCCCTGGCCTCCAACCCACATCAGTGTCTTCCATACCAGCAGGAGAACATGTGGCTGCCAAGAAAAGTGCTGGTGAGTAAAGGCAGGTCAGCCTTTTTGACTCGGCACTTCAGAGCATGCAAGAAGCATCGCTGTAACAGTTCATCCATTTGCTCTGTAAGGGAAGACAAGACCACACCCTTCCTGAGACAGAACGCCTGCTACAGCACAGGAAAACTCCTCTGCCCAGCTCCATCCCCACCCCCACCTCACCCCCTTGGCTCTGAAAGGAACCCATTCCCAGGTACCAAAGCTCCCAGACTCTCTTGACCACCAAGCCTTCAGAGAGGGATGACCCCAGAGAAGGGGTTAAGCCACAAAGTCCCACCAAGCCAGGAGCATTCACCCAGAAGTCAGAGCCAGAAGAAACTCTAGGGGGCTCTGTAGCTGGAACAGTCCAAATGCCAGGGCAGACTGGCACCCAGGAGACATGACTTAAGTGGAAAGGACTCTAAGGCAAGATGTCAAAGAGCTGCTGTGCCACCTCACCGAAAATAGGACCTTCTCCTCCTCTCCCAGAGCTTCAGTGCCATTCTGATCAGAAGTGGGGTGAAGCTTGTCAGCCTCCTAAATTGAGAGGAGGGGAGACAGGCCCTTCTCCTCCCAGAGCTATACCTCGAAGGGTTTTGCTGTCTGTGGAGTCTTGGTTCGGGGCCCCAGCACTGGTGTCTTCTGAGGCTTCTGAGAGGGACTTCTCCCCACACGCCTGATGAACCTCCCCAATCTCCTCCTCTCCCTCCAGGGTCAGGCGCCTCACATCCTCCTGCAGGGTGGGGTCCACCTGGACAGACCCCTTGTCTTCACTGAGATCTGTGGGATCCAGTGCCAGTGGAGCAATGGAAGGTGGACAGGACTTGTCCCCAGATTGCCTGGAAAAATCTCATGTCAGAAACACCAAGGAGCAGCCATAACACTCTCCAACCCTGGTCAGGGAAGAGTCAGCCAGGAGTTCAGAGCTAGCAAGAGCTGACAGGCAGGAATGTCCAGGAGAGAGCAGAGAGCCTGTGCTCTCATCCCAATTCTATTTTCAATCCTGGGCCCAGAAAAGTTCCATGCCTCAGTTTCCTCATCTCTGAAATGGGGAGAATAAGTCTTGCCTCTCCCTATCCCAAAGGAGTAATAATATTCTTAACAGACATCATGAGACAGAGAAAGATCAAAGAAAAAGCAGTTAAAGATATGCCCATAAAAGTATTCCCTTCATATAAGTTAAAAACAATAACAACATTTTGAATTAAATAACAACATTAAGATCATAAATGCGTCTGTAGTACCAGTTGGTGACATTCAAACCCAAGGCTCAGCACATGTAACAAAACACAAACACCTGGACTGCTCAAGGACTGCGAAATCAGTGGCTTCTGTGTTAAATCAAATGCAATCTAACTTGCAAAGGAGAGATTACCATGGTTTTCTGCCACTAAGCCTTAGGAAGACAAAAAAAGCGATGCCACATAGCAGAGCGTATAGAGAGGTAATAAGCTTCATCTCAGCCAAGATATGTAAATCAAGCCAAGTTTTAACTACTAGCGGTAGCAAGGCTTATTAAGTACTGTTAATAATAGTAAGGCCAAAGTGTATGTTTAGCCTATTCTGACCAGCTAAACACTATAAATATTTTTTAAAGGGGGGGAGAGAGGGGGTTGAGGCAGTTGATAAAACAACTCAGATGACATGACCTTGCTTGCTGCTGCCCAGACTGATAGTTAGAAACAAAGGTGCTAGGAGAACATCAGTCATCAGCCTCCAAATATCCGCTGAAAAAAACAGGCTAATGAGGTTGTACCCCCAGCAAAGTAGGGCTTGGCCAATATAGCTGACCCTTAACAACAAGGGTTTGAACTTTGTGGGTCCACTTATATGTGGATGTTTTTCAGCCAACTCCAGACAGAAAATACAGTATTTGCAGGATGGAGAACCCATGTATATGGAGGGCTGACTTTTCACATCCAAGGATTTTGGTATACACAGGGGTGGGAGACATGGTTGGTGGGGGGAGATGTCCTAGAACCAATCCTCTGTAGTCAACTGTACTTGTAAAACGAATAACTCCAAGGCTGGGCTAGAAAATATAAGGGTGAAGCTATACCAATAATAAAAGACCAGGTACATTGTTTTTGAGAAAAGTACTGTTTCCTGTTTTGGTAAAATGACACAAGAAAATAACCAGAACATGAACTGGTATGTGGCTCTAGAAAGCAACTGTTACAGTCTGAATGTGTTATTCCACAATCAGGAGGAGATGTGAAATATGACACGTGAATACCATAGATGTAATTGGCTTATCGTCCTGGTGCCTGAAGATCTACCCTGCTTTGGTTTGGATTCAGAAGCACTTGTCACGGGGCCAGATGTTGCCTAAAATGTGCATGGCAGATAACGCCAGATTGACCAGAGCTATTAAAAAAATGAATAACACCATACTGAGGGGCAGAATAGACAATCCCTAAGGAGAATTCCAGGTCTAGGATTCTATAATTCACCTAGAAAATAATCAAAGTTCTCTCTAACTTCATGCCCAACCAGGAAAAAAATTCTTTATTCTTTTCTCCACATATGGCTGAGAAATGAAAATCTGGGGTCAGCAATTTGCCTAAGGACACGGCTAGGACAAAACTGTTACTCTGAATCCCAGACTGTATGCTCTCTCCAGCCACTTTGGCTCTCTGTGAAACAGAAGAAACACTGTACCCACCACAAGTGGTCCTGGTAAGTGTGCAGTACAGAGAAGCCCCTTCCCTTCAGGCCTGAAGTCAGCATCTCAGCTGTGGACATGGCAGCGACTCCGATCGCTATGGGGGCTCTAAGAAGAAGGAGGCCAGAGACAGGGTCAGAAAGTCTACCAGGAAGGCACATGTCAGGACCATCTTTCCACACACGTGGTAAAAGCATCATGGTTACCAATTTGAAGCATCTACTTCTATCACAAAACCAAACTCAGTCCAGTCTCGATTTCCTTCAGATTACCTACCTATGAATATTATTTTCAAAAATCCCTTGACCAAATAATCCCCTGACCTTTCTGTACAATTAACTCCTCTGCTGACATTATCACTGCCTTCGTTTTATTCCTATTATGAATTCAACCCAGGCAAGACCTGTGAGGATATTTAAAGTTCCCTTTCTTAATTTCAAAAATGTAGATGATCTCCTCCACTTTAAAGAAGTCATAGTCATCCTGTAAGCAAGTTCAGAGGGGAGGCAATTCATATGCCACAAATTAGGCTGAGGGATGCCTTGGTTCCCCAAGAGAGAAGAGACAGCTAGTGGAGCCAGTCTGAGAAGTTCCTTCTGAGTCGGCTTACTCTGTATAACTATGTATCTAAGAACTGGGTGTTTCCAGGATATCAAAAACAACCACATTTATAGTAATTACAAAAACTCCCCAAGCCCAAATGAGAAATCTCTGTCAGCCCAGTGTTACTCCAGCACTGATCACACAAGGCCTGTAAGGATATGTGGCCAGCTGGATAACACTGAAGAATTCATAAGCCTGGCAAGGTAGCCTGGGTCCAAGGGAGAAGATTCTAGGGCAGAGTTCCCAACACCTGAACTTAATTTTTTTTTTTACTAAACCTGGTGGCTCCACTTACTGTGCCTACAGTTCAGTTCTTGCCACAGAAACTTTGAATCTGGATTCTTTCCCAGTTCTTAAAACAGGGGTCTTTTTCTTCTACCTCTAAAAAGGTCAATGGCTCAAGAACTCATCTTGAACATGACTTGCATTTTTAACAAACTCCTTGTACCCTTACCCCTACCACAAACCATCACCAAGCTCCATCCCCATAAACACTCTAAAGGCTAAATTGAGCAGGCCAAATGTCCTTTTTATTGTTTTCTCCTATCTTGCATAGAATACTTGGAGGCCTGCAGGGTGTGGAAGATACCACCATGATTCTTTTCAACTGTAATTTCTGCTACAGGCAAACAAGAAAGGTTCCTGGGTGCTTGGTTCCAAAAGATGCAAGGAAAATAGAAGAATATGAGCAGCAAAAATAAGATCTTTAAACACTGACCCCTCTTATGCTTAAAATCTCTCTTTCCTTCTCTCTCAAAGAAGCAGTGATTAAAATAACGAGATGTCATTTTCACTCACTAGAATAACACAAATGAAAATGACCCATCATATCCAGTGTTGGCAAGAACATAGGGAAGTAGGCTACGTATATGCTGTAGGTAGAAATGACAACTCAGCTTTTTTGTAGGAAAACAGAAAATACACACGATCTTCAACCTAACAGTTCTGCTTTTTAGCATCTACTCTAGAAAAATATTGGCACTGGTGTCCTTAGAGGCATCGATAAAATATTGTTTGTAACAAATTGCAGGCAACCTCAGTGTCCATCAGGAGAGGACCTCTTCCATCTCCACACAGCAGGTAAAAAGATTCAGCAGATCTGTGTGTTGCTGACATGAAAGATGTCCACACTATATTAAGTGAAAAAAAAATACATATACAGTAGAATTCTGCTTGTATTTTGAAACAAACATACCTAAAGCCATACATTTTATATACACATGTATATGTGCAACGAAGAAGGGCAGCAAGGATGCACATCAAAGTGGTAATGGTTTCTCTAGGAGAAGAGGATTTTGGGGTGAGGGGGCTTTTGATTTTTCAGAATTGTTCATACTATTACTTTTTAAAAAACAGCAGGATGGTGGTTGAACAACTCTGTAAACACACAAGAAAATCACTGAATTGTATATTTCAAACAGTTGGATTTTGTGGTATGTAAACTATATCTCAACAAAGCTATTAAAAATAATTTTAAAATGAGGATGATGATGTGGATGATGAAAAAAAAAAAAACTGGGAAGGTGACGAAAGACAAGGAGAGACCAAGGGAATGTTACAGACAGGTGACTAAGAGCATATGACAACTAAATACAATGTGATATCCTAGCTTGGATCCTTGAATGGAAAAAAGAATTACTGGGAAAACTGGGGAATAAAGTATGCAATTTAGTTGGTAATATTGTACCAGTATTGATCCCTTATTTGTGATAACTATACTGTAGTCACGTAAGATGTGATCGTTAGAAGACGCTATGTAAGGAGTGTATCAGAACTCTGTGCTATCTCT